TCTATCTATCTATCTATCTATCTATCTATCTATCTATCTATCTATCTATCTATCTATCTATCTATCGATCTATCGATCTATCTATCCATCTATCTATCTTACATGATGAGTGTATACCTTCCTTCTGTACATCTGAACAGATGTTACATCGTGCAAGCAGAGAAATGGCGGCTGTGATCACATATGCAGTGAGCGAGTTGGGGGCCATGTCCAGTGCAGCTGTCAGACAGGATGGACACTGGGCCAGGACCTGAGGAGCTGCGTGGGTGAGACTTCAACATCACTCCACAGACTGCCCCATCCATTGGTCATTTTCTGCTCATTTCTGCTTCTGGATTCCAAACTATTGTCAAACAACAAATCCTTTAAATGCAGTGGAATGTTATTAAGGGACTTCAAACAAAGCTTGTGTAATTGAATATATAATTATGCAGCTAAATTAGATTGGATTTTTTTATGCATATAAGAGATCTGAGTATGATTAAATCCATTTAGGTACCACCAGCTGTCGTGGCTTACTCCTGTGTAAATCTAATTAACTTAGCAATTATGACAGTGATGTAAGAAGTATAATGTGGCAAAATAAGAAAAGGAAAAGTCGTTATGTTTTAGCAGGGAGTTTCAAACACAACACAATTATAATTTCTAGTCTTGTGCTGACTCGGAATAAAAGTAATAACAGACTTGTTCTCGTCTCCAGCGACAGTGGGACGGTGAGACACATCACTGTTTCTTTATCTGTGTGTGTGTGTTGTGTTTCAACTCCGACCCTCTCTGTCTTATGTCTCGAGATGTGAACGAGTGCAGTGACTTCACCAACGGAGGCTGTGAGCAGCTCTGCCTGAACCATCCTGGAGGGTTCAACTGCACATGCAGGGAGGGGTACAAAGTTCAAACCGATGACCTCACCAAGTGCCAACGTGAGTCAGTCAATACACGTTGGCGATGATGAGAACAACTAATAGACCTGTAATTAAAACTAAATAAACATGACTCTGCCTCTTCAGCGGTGTGTGAGCCACCGTGCCAGAACTATGGTGTGTGTGTGGCCCCAAACAGCTGTGACTGTCCTCCAGGGTACCCTGGTTTGGGCTGCTCAGGTAATTAATTGAACATTATTGAGTGTTTAGTCTGTGGCTGTGTTATGTCGAATGGCTAACTTACATTACATTCAGAATATGAGTTGATATATGAGTTAATGTCTGTCTCTGAATTACATCAATTTAAAGGAAATCTAATGAAACCCATACCTTTGTGTGTTGCAGCCATGTGTTCGCCACCTTGTGCCCATGGAGGTACTTGCATTCGCTGGAACAAGTGTCTATGTCCTCCTGGGTGGACAGGAGTGGGCTGCCACACAGGTGACTGTAGCTGTAGTTACAGTTCCCACAGTCATGTCAGATTTAAAATTCTTGGCCAAATATCTTAAATTGTCTGGGTTTAAATGTCATGACTTTCCACAGACATATATATAAAATATGTGAAATCAAGCAAAAACTGTCAAATTAATTTACAGTTTATATTTCAGGGACAGAAAAGCCTAAGTGGATGATGATGGATGGATGAAATAGATTAAAAAATGTTTGTTAACACATGGACCGAATGACTGTGTCTAACAATCCCACCATATATTGAATTATTTACGGTTGCTCAGTCAAAAACACATGATGTGATTTAAACACACTACAGGAAAGACTTTTCTTTCACCTAAATACTTTGATCTAAAAATACCATCACAGCGCTCAGCATGTGGTTACTGGGGTGTCACTACAGGTGAGTCACCACGCTTGTATCAGAGCAGCCTCATCGAGTACAGGACAGTAAGTCAGTCTATGGCTGACAAACTGACTGACACAATTAGGAATGGATTACATGTTCTATAAACCATTTTGTTATTTTGGGAATGTTGATTATTCTCAATTAATCAGGAATATTCTGTATAGCATCCATTGCTTTGTGAATATTGTGAATATATTCATTTGACAGCATTACTTTTTAAGTTTAACAAAGGGTTCTCAGAATTTCCCCCCTTTTGTTTAATATTTTAAACTAATTTAGCCCTTTACTATTATAGTTTAATTTACTTCCTTATGTTTTAAAACACTTACATTTTACAACAGGGAAAAACAATTTGATTTCCATTGCCATCATTATCAAACAAGTTACATTTTTCTTGGCACCAGCTCCCCCTCTATATTCCGGTGTTATGGATTTTGAATTCCCTGCATTTCTCATTAATGTTTTATTCATTTTCTAAAAACAAATCAATAAAACTATATTCTTTACACATTTTTTAAACATTTACTATCAGCCTTGTGCTTTGTCTGTCTCAGCGGTGTGTGAGTTGCCCTGTGCTAACGGAGGTCGCTGTGTTGAACCTGAAACCTGCCAGTGTCCCTCTGACTACACAGGTCCACAGTGCCTACTGCGTGAGTAACATACTGCATCCCCCGTCATCTGGAAGTATTTGTCACTTTATTTTGTCATTAAGCTGTGTGTGTGTGTGTGTGTGTGTGGGAGTGTGTGTGTGTGTGTGTGTGACAGCTCTGTGTAGTTCTGTGTAGTCCTGCGTGTCAAAATGGAAGATGTGTCGATGTCAACAAATGTGTGTGTGCTGGTGGATGGCAAGGAGCTCGCTGTCAAATTGGTGAGAACCATCTCTCTGTTCCTGCTCTAGTTACCGTAAATGTTACACAACTATAACAAATCTTACTTGATAATATTACCATATGCTTTAACATAATTATACTAAGAAAATAGCTCTACAATATATATTTTTAAATTACAAGTCTTTTTCATGTGGTGTCTTTTTATAAATGATTCACTTGTATTAAATACTGCAGATGTTTCTTTGCACGTCCTTGTTGCATTTTTGTTCGCAGTAACTGCAGGGTGTTCAGCACAGTAAAAGTATGAATTTGTTAAATAAGAATAAAATATTAATCCTCCAAACTTCTCTATAGGAAATTAACAATGGATCAACAAAACAAAGCATTTTTGGACAACTTACTAGATGTCCTTCTTCTTGTTGGTACATACAATTTTACAATTCAATGCACAATTCCTTCATGTAATTTATACAAATAATTAACACTGGATTCATTTTTATCACTGACTACTTTAAGCAGACAGCGTATTATTTTGTGTAAAACTATTTCACTAAATATCAGTAATTTCAAGTGCACTCATAACTAAAGGAGCAAACTTCTCAGATAAAGTTTTACATGGTGGATTTTAAATGTTTCCCTTAATTAAATTGAAAGTAAAAAACTGAAAAACTGAAATTCTGAAAGGAGGTGGTCAGTGGGCTACAATAAGACACATGACCTCTGTCCCTTTACAGTTTATTATCCTGCCAATCAGATTTCAGCTTGATTGGAAAACATCAAGTCAATAATCTATCTTGTACTGTTGGCTATGTTATTATTGATTTTCCCTTTTCTCTTATCAGCATGTTCTCGTGGCAGACACCGGGCTCACTGGTTATAAATCCAGTTTGCAGAAAATAACATGAATACCTGCATTTGAACTATTTCATTCAATTCTACATTTTCTTCCGAAAGGAGAGTGAAAGTTTTGTGGTGAAATAAAATGTTCCTGTCTTTTCTAGAACCGGTTCAGTGTCAGGAACCTTGTAAGAATGGTGGAGTGTGTGTGGGCTTCAACAGGTGTCGCTGTTCCACAGGATTTACTGGAAACCTCTGTGAAACAGGTCAGTTCAAGTCATATTAGGGAAGTAAATCCCTTTACTCTGTGTGTTAACTCTGGCTGTCTGCTGTGTCTATAGCTATAACCGTCCCCTGTGTGCCACCCTGCAAACATGGCGCCACCTGCAGTCCTCACAACACCTGCACGTGTCCGGAAGGTACTACAGGTTTACGCTGTGAAAGACTGTAAGTATGAAAGAGAGCATCAGACAGAGCCATTGACAGAAAAGTACAGAAAAAACCCAAGCCACAAACTGAAAATAAAAGTGATGTCCAGAAGTATGCCAAAAGTTCTAGTTTGGTGTTTGATTCAGTAATTTTAAAATAGAATTTTAATTATCTTAACTACGATGCTATGTGATATACATTCTAACAAAAGACAGATTAAATTGTCCTCTGGACACAGGAATGTTTTAATAATCCAATTCTTTAATAGACTCTACTCTCATAGAGCTATATTATCTGTGTGTTCAAGGACATGTCCAGTGATCACCACTGCAGTCAGTATGGCACGAGCGGTGAGGAAAGCCTTTAGGGAGAGCTACGTCGATCGCTGTGGACCACTGGGAATTCAGCTTTGCACTAAATACAGGTCATCAGGTTTACTATTTGAACAATCACAAATACGTTTTTCCATAAATGTTATCTGCATGTTACAATGGAGCTGGTGCACCACATTCTTTGTAAATATGTTAAATTATAGTATAATATATATTATTGTAATACTGTTTACAGTAACAAAATAATTGAACAAAGCTGTTTTCTTCTCATATTTTCAGGATAAACCAGGCACGAGTGTACCTGCAGGCCTACAGGGTGGGCTACAAGATCCAGTGTCCACAAAAAACTGGAAGATGACAGCATTGTTTTCCAATTTTGGAGAATGAGGTGGTCATCATCGGGCTTCTCTGTTAGAGGATTTACCTTAAATCAAGATTCAATGTTGAAAGTTATTTTGATTTAACTGTATGAAGTTCTTTACTCTAATTTCCTAGGGGGGATTAATTGAGCCAATGAAACAATCATGCTTCATGATGGAGTTAAATCAGTTCATGAGTTTCTCAATCCTGTCTACTGCTGCATCAAGAAAATAACTCTCTTTCCTTTTAGCACCGAAGGGACTTGGATTGTCCCGATTGGGGCAAATGACCTGTAACTGTAATGTTTACATATTTCAAAGGGATTAAGGGTCTGTAACCACATAAAGAAAAATGTTGAAGAAGACTGATGAATAAACAATACCAATGTCACTCTGTACAATTTTACAAAAAAAGATAATAATGAGTGTGAAAGAAAATAAAATTAAAAACAAAAGTCTGCATCAGGCAGTCAAACACATGCCAACCAAGGTCTGTCTTTTATTATAACAGCTAGCACATCATGAGGAATAGAATCTAACCTATCATTTCTATATACAGCACGGTTAACTCGTTTGCTTTTCGCCTGAACAAGTTTGACTTCTCTGGGCTTCCGTTGCTTTGCTGTGATTGGTCAATGATAGAATATGGCGATGTCCGCGGAATTGTAAAAACGTCATGAAAATAATTTGAGTTTGTTGTGTATAGGAACAAACACGAGTGGAATTACAACATTCACGTGGAACCACATCATGGAAAACGTTTTTAACACTATCACTGACTCCAGACAACGTTGATTTAGCGTAGTTTTCCTTAATCAGCACGGGTTTCTTGTGCCGGCTAACAAACCTGCTAACATCGATACAGAGGATAGTCCTCGACACTGAGCAGTAAGTAATGACAATATTTGAAATGTATCCTGCTTTTATCAGCATTTTAGAATTATATGGGAACAACTATGCATCTGTTCTGTGCATTAGTATATAAACAAATAGTTTCGTTCTACTACAAAGTTTTTGTATGACAAATCAGAATGGAAACGACTTGAAGCAATGTTCAGGAATCCAAACGCGTGATTCAAATGTTCTTTTTCAGTTTGTTTGTAGCTGTATGCTAATGTACCATGTCCATAGTGCCTAGGCGAGTTTATGTAATCACAAAAAGTTATATACTATATACCATTTTTATCCAAGTGTTATCCAATTACAACCCAAAAATACACATTGTATTTGTAATGAAATTCATTTTAAAAAAAGAAAAGAACATATACATGTTATGCACGTACATCATTGTCACTGCAGTTATATGACGTTGAATCAAAGCTGTTGTAAAAAAATATTTGAATATATGTGTGAAACAACTGTTGGGGTTTTTTTTTTTTTTTTTTCAGCTCCAACATGCCTGCCTTCCGACAAGTGGGAGAGAAGCAACTTCCTAATCCTGTTCTGTGTATGGCATGGTCTCCAAGGCGCGATCTGATTGCTTTGGCCAACACAACAGGCGAGGTAACAGTCCTAATTCTTTTCTTATTCTTGTTTATACTTTCTTGAACATGTTCTACTTTATTTTTTTGTGTTGTAATGTCTCTCTTTTGTCCGTAGCTACTTCTACATCGTTTGGCCTGTTTCCAGCGTGTTTGGAGTTTACCTCCCACTGAGACCACAGGGAAGGAGATCACTGCCTTGGCCTGGAGACCAGATGGCAAAAGTAAGACATGTCTACACTCTGTCTTGTCTTTGTGATTACAGCATCATAAATTGAATTATTTTTGATCAACTTCTTGATTCACAGTATTGGCATTCAGCCTCGGAGACACCAAGCAGGTTGTCCTGTGTGGTGTGGAGAAAGCAGAAATACTCCACGTGTTTCCAGTAGAGAACTCTGTCACCTGCATGCACTGGATGGAAGTAACTGATGATTGCAGGTAATAATGAGACTGGAGGATATACCAGTACTAGTATAATAAAACATGGGAATACAAAATAATGCATGTGTATGTGTTTCAGTGCCCTGAACTCCTTCTTCAATTCAGAAGATGAATCAAACTTTTTTCTTTCTAAACTGCCATCACTCCCCAAGAGGTAACATCAGAGAAAATTTCAATTTAATTGAATTCCCGAACATCCTGTTTTAATTTAATAACATTTTACTTATTTTATTTTTCATAGCTACAGCACAACATCTGAGATCTTCAGGTAGGATCATATTTTAATGTATATTCACATCAGACCCACTGAAGGATTGTAATGTCTTCTTGGATTGTATCTAACAGCAGCCTTAAGTTTTTATTTCTGTTTTACAGTGAAGACAAGTCTGATGAGATCATGAATCTTTTAGGAGAAGTGAGGTTTGTCAAGACTTTTTTATTTAAAAAGTACTGCTGATCAAGGTCATAGAGAAAAGTTAGCTCTAACATTAGTTTCTAGAAAGTCACACTTTCTTATAAAACATCACTTGTGTCTTTGCCTCAATCTTCATTGCATCCAATATTTGTCTCTCTATTGACTTCAAACAGCAGTGCTTTGTCCAGAATACTGAAAAAAACTTTAATAATCAACACCAGATTTAAAAAAAGTCTAGGACATGCAGACTGCTGTCAGATTAACATTGTAATTACTCTGTGTTTCTGTACAGACTGAATATACTTGTCCTAGGAGGAGACAATGGTTTTGTGGAACTTTACGCATATGGAATGTACAAGATTGCGACCTTGACAGGGGTAAGTTATTTTTAGCAAATGCCATTCACAGCAGCTGCAAGGAAATTTTGGATCTAATACATTAGATTAGTTAAGATTTGAAGAAAATAAATCTCTAAAGAAACATTGAGGTTAACTTTAGCAAAGGACTTTCTATTTTCCGTAAAATTAGTCTGGCATCGCTCAAACAAATGAAATCACACACTGAGTCTTTGTTACTTCTTTAATTGTTTAGTCTGGATTAAAAAATGTATTTCACTTTTTCATTTTTATAGGTATCAGGTTCCTGTTGCAGCCTTAGTTTGTCCAACGATCTCAAGTCTCTGTCCATTATCACTGAAATTATGTCTGCTGAAGACAAACCAGAGATCTGCTATGTTCAGGTGAATTGTACACATACTGTGGACCTAAAAACTTTCTTCTAATGCCCTCGTGCTGGCAATAACCAGCATGTGAACTCTGTCCTAATTACATCTTCCAGATGGACACAGGGTTGTTGTCTGACTGTCTGCCTGAAGTCACCAGGATGGCGCGCAAATTCACTCATATCTCCACTGTGCTCCAGTACCTGCATCTGTCCCTCACATGTATGTGTGAAGCCTGGGAGGATATCCTCATGCAGATGGATCTCCGTCTCACAAAGTTTGTCCAGGTCAGTTATTTCACAATTGTCACATGAAGTATAAAATTAGGCATTTGGACTAAGGGCCAAGTCAAGAGATATTTCTGTCTTTTAGGAGAAGAACACCAGCACACAGGTTCAAGATGAGTTTCTGGAGCTTCTGCTATGGGGACAATCGAGGTAAAAGAAATTTTCTGCTTCTTTACTAGAACAGATTATCACGGTGTAGCCTGTGTATGAGTTCTCTGAGTATGAAGGTTTAAATTTTCATGTGTTATCATTGTCAGTGCATGACCCATGACTATTTAATTTCATAATTAATAAATGTCTTAAAATTATTTGTAGTTACCATTGAGGGTGTAATGCTGTGAAATAAACAAATCCAAAGTGTGGTATATGAAGATGTCTTTAAGTGAAGCGACTAAGGTTTTATTTCTATCCTACATTCTTATGTATTTATATAGTTGAAAATGATGAAGATATTGGTTTATTCTGCCCTTGATTTGAATTCACAAAAGAGGATTTTTATGTTTTTTTTAGTATTTTTTGAAGATTAATTAATTGACTGATACAAGTGTCTATGTGTCGATGTTATCGAGCGAAATATAAAGTAATACTATGTGTAGCATCACTAGGTGGAAGAGGAGTAAGTGCTCTTAATTTACAGCAAGAAGTTCATCGATTGCATCTTTTGGATCTTTCTGTAAAAAAGAAAATGCTGTCATGTCACTTTTTACATTTTCTTCTGCTTCTTGCAGCCCAGAACTACAGGCTTTTCTAATGAACCAGCTGAATGTTAAGGTGAGATGGAATCGCTCTCTTTCTCCCTAAAGTGTAAAATAATATAATCTCAATTCTTAATTTCCTTTTTTTAAAGTAAGATTATGATTTAGTTTTCAACATATGATTTGGTATTATAGATCCCCTCACTTGTCTATACTTTGTGTTTTGTCGAAGGGCCTAAAAAAGCTTGGCCAGTCCATTGAGTCTTCTTACTCCAGCATCCAGAAGCTTGTGATCAGCCATTTACAGAGGTGTTTTTCTTTAATGATTAATTATTCTCTAAAAAGACAAAACTGCAGTGTCTTAGTCTGTCATTAATCTCCACCTCCTCTGCTCACTGTAGTGGCTGTGAGGCTCTGTTGTATCACCTCAGTGAGGTGAAAGGAATGTCGCTGTGGAAGCAGAAGTTTGAGCCTCTAGGTCTTGACTCCACAGCTATAGAAGGTACAGTTTGACAGCTTGTTTGATTTATTTATTTTTTATTTACAGCTTCAATATGAATAAAAGGCCTTGTACATTCTTTGTCTCCAGGTGCCATCACAGCTGTAGGATCTTTTTCTCTAAAAGCCAATGAACTTCTACAGTGAGTTTCAAGATTTTCTCCATCCATTCCAATTACGTTATCATTGCTCCTTTTAAACTACTGCTTACAAACAGTTACTTATTTGGTGATTTAGGGTGATTGACAAGAGTATGAAAAACTTCAAAGCCTTTTTCCGGTGGCTCTACGTGGGTACGTTCTAAAATGAGTCTGTCAAGATACGTATATAAGATTACTGGAGGTTAAATTGTTGCTTGAAGTGATTTGGTGTTTTTTTTTTTTTTTACAGCCATGTTGAGAATGTGTGAGGAGCATGTACCACCAGAACTCAACAAGGTGTGTTGTCAATAACTGGGAAAGGTCAACTTTAGTTTTGAACTGTTTACCACATTGATTGTTTTCTCTCCCTCTCTTTCACTCAGATGACTCAGAAGGACATTGCTTTTGTTGCTGATTTCCTTTCAGAACATTTCAGTGCGGTGAGATCATGGGAAAAAAAACACTTACATTAATTTGTACATTTTTGGCAGGGTTTTCTCATTTACTTTAATTGATACCGGAATTTGCAGAACGAAGAACTCTTTGATCGCAAAGGAAAGTATTTTAATGTGGAGCGAGTTGGTCAGGTCAGTGGTTTGTGATTAGTTAGGTTGGAGTGTTTTTAAACGTAGCTGCTCTCTCACTGTGGTTGGTGGTTTGTATGGATTCACAGTATCTGAAGGACGAGGATGAGGACCTTGTGTCTCCACCCAACATTAATGGGAACCAATGGTTGAAGTTTTTGCAGGAGAGTAAACACCTGAAGGGTAAGCTATAATCACTACTTGTTGTAGGTGGTGCATAAAAACAGATTATACATTGATATAGGCGGTATTAAAAACTTTAACATTTTTGGTTTGTTTAGAGAGCCCTCTGTTGTTTCCGTCCTATCCCCAAAAGTCTTTGCACTTTGTGAAGAGGATGATGGAGAACGTGATTGAGCAGTGTCTACAGAAACCTGCAGTAAGTATCCAATAATAGTTGTTTTATACATCATTTTATGAGGATATGGAACCCTAAAACTGAAAAATGGAGAGAGTCTTTGGATTTTACTCAACAATTGGCTGCAGAGTTCTTACACTGTAAAATTCCATAACATTGACTTCATAGGGTGAGGTCTTACCAGTAGCTAATGTCACACTGCCCCCCTGTGGTAAAAATAAAATACACTTAGGCACCAGTGACGGTTAAAATAGTTAAGATAACTGAGTAGTTATTAAAATTTAATTTAATTTTTAACGTGTACAGTGAAAATAATATTTTTCTGCTTCTGCTGCTTCATTCATTTGTTTGTGTAGGAAATCATTGGGAAGTCTGTAAAACAGGCTGCCTTTTTGCCTTTGTACACAGTTCCAGAGAGGTAAGTTCTAGAGTCTCCAGAAAAGTTTACATCACTAATAAATAACTACACACAATATAAACGATATTAATTTTCTTTTTTGTGTGTGTCTCTAGCTCAAACACTCCTCGACTTTTTGACATGCCATCTTTGTACGTAACAGACATTCTGCAGTTTAAAACTTTGAAATTTAAAAAGGAGAGTTAGCCTGAAAATACTCTGTTTTGCCTTAACACAGATGGAATGACAAAAAGGCTAAAATGCACTATGTTGTGTTCAACATGCCACATATTTCACCCTGCAAGCTGTACCTGCTACGTAAAGAAACTGACCCAAACAGGTAGCGTCTACAGCATGTACTGTGTGCATATTTAAGGTCACTATACAATTATATCGTACTTATATAAAGTGCTTTGTTTGAATTATTTTTGCAGAAGTGTTCCAAACAATGTCATCTCCATTGCACTCAGTCGCCTTTTTGATAGAGCAAATGATGATGCAGCCCAGTGAGTGAACAAACGTATGTTACACACATTAATGTGTTTGGCTGGTAGATATGGTTTAACCACTTTTTCTTTTTCTTTTTTTAGATCTCACGGCTACAACTGCCTTGATGCTCGTTTCTATGATGATGAAATGTTAACTGTGGTCTTGCAAGGGGCGGAAGAAAACAATAGTAAACGTATTCTGGCACAACTGCCTCTTACTTCCGCCTTAAGTTGTGAAGCTCCATTCAACTGGAAGACAAACCTGAGGTGTGTTTGTGTTGAATTAAAATTGAAATTTAATTAACTCCCTTCCCTTTAGAGATTGAATCATTGTGTCATCAGTGAAATCATCACCTTCTCTGTTTGGTTGGTTTTGCTTACCTGAAGGGACCAGTTAGCTGCAGCCTAGCTTGGCCCATGCCTGAGTGTCCAGATAGCTACAGTATATCTTTTTAATTCCAACACCTTTATATGTTGTTCCAGGTTGGACCAGCAGAGCAGTAGCATCCCATGCCAGGGTCTGGTACTAGGGAATCAGCTACGAGAACTTGAGAGTATGAAAGCACAATTTGTTGCTGTCAATGGAATCCGGAAAGTTGCCTGTGTAGTAAGTTGCATTTTCAAGTCAAGCATTTTGCATAAACACACTGCCCTCATTTTTCACTGCTTCAAACATTTGCTTCTCTCCTTCTCCTGACAGCTTAGCACTAATTTGAGGCACATACGTGTTTTTGAAATGGATGTGGAAGATGAGGAAGAGGAGGGGGCGGACTCACAAAATGCCACTGCTGGACAGGATGTGCTGCATAATACAATGACCAGCGAAGGGCAGGGAGAGGAAAGTGTTGAGGCAGGTGGAGATCCTGTAGATAATGAAGAAAATGGACTTACAAAAAGTAATGAGCGTTTGGATTCAAAGGAAGATCTGGAACTCACCTAAGACTAAGACAAAAATCCTTTTTTCAATTCTAAAAAAAGGTTTATACATGAAAACGGACTGGTCTGTGTTTTAACTTTATTGGTTCATATTTTTCAACATCTTTACAATCAAACATAATATGTTTTCATCATTTATTAGTTCATAATAAACAACATAAATACATTGTTAATACATATAAGATAATTGTAGATCAATAAAAGTTTCCTCTCAAAGAAAAGTAATTACGTTGTTATTTTCAAATGTATTTGTAACATTGCTTCAATGACAAAAGTATGGATATTGTCTGAAATCTCAGATTCCTATTTTTCTCAGAACAAAGACTATACCTAAAGGTCCTTTTTTCAGAACTCTGACTAGAATTTTTGATGAAAAGAAAGTTAAATGCCATAAAATAATTTCTCTTAAATGTAGAATAACCAATTTTTATTGTAATTGTTTTTCATGAGCACTTCTTCCCCTAAGTTTGCGTCTTCTAGAATCAGATTTGAAGTCACGACTCTGTTCAAATTTGTTTATATGAATTACACAATATTTTTTTTATATTTAAAAATATGTCGGAACTTTGAGTAAGCCACTTAATATTCGATTTCGTTTAAAGAAGAAGAAACTCTACTGACTCATTGGTTCCTTTGTGAAAATGTGAGCGCGCAAATAGGTGTTGGTTACGTGCGCGCCTCCGCGGAGCAGCGCGGTAACGTGCTTCATCGCCGCCTGTTGGTCTCTCACAGTTGGTGACGAGTATTGTGAAAATGGCCTCGGTCGTAGCCCTGAGCTTGAAAAACCGGAGAAGATGACGATGTTGAGGTTAAAAAAGTGGGCCGAACACCAAAGTGTCTTCTTTAAATAAACAGGTAACAGTGAAGTGAGGATAAACTAGGAGACAGTCGGCTTAGGGACGTCTAAAAATACCACCGACCGACCACTGCATATTTTCGTGGGGCTGAGGAACCACTATGGAGGATATCAACTCTAATATCAACGCGGACTTGGAGGTGCGGAAGCTCCAGGACTTGGTCAGGAAGCTCGAACAGCAGAATGAACAGCTCAGGAGTCGACCTACTATGTTTTCCTCACCAGCCGGGTCGATGTCAGGGAACCACAGACCCCTCAGCGCCGGCTACGAATCGTCGTCCCTGTCAGCGGGGATGGCAGCAGGGCTGGCCGGCTTCCCTGGGGTGGGGTTGGTCGGAACTGGAGGCTACGGAGGGTTTTTGGAGAATAACCGATGTTTCAACCCTCGACTTTCCTACGATGGCATCAGTTTTGGAAGATCTTATGAAGGTGAGGGGGCATCAGCTGGTTCTACGAGACTGAACTCACTTTACTCGAACAACGCCGGGAGCTACAGAGATGAGGGTGAAACGTCAATACTAGATGAAGTGGAAATCTTAGACCTAGAAGACATGGACTGTCTGAACGAAGACGAGGACAGCTGGTAAGTCTTCACAAGTGTCTTGGCTTTGCAGTCATGTTTCTGTATTCAGTGAAGGGTGACAGCTTTAATTGCCCAGGCACAGCTGCGGGACACACAGCTACCATGATTGACTGAAATGTGAAGTCATGTCCACTGAAGGGAGCTCATTGTGGATCATTATACGAAGAAGGTTTTGCCAAGTAATGTGGGCGTTGTCATGGTCATCTGTGACTGTATGACCATTGAGAACAAAACCTCTTCTTTATTCACAATCTCCTGTCGGTGTGTGTCTACGTGTGTTTGCTTTTGTTCCTCAAAGTTATCAGTAGGCCCTTTCAGGACCCTGTGGTTCTTCACAGTCTCTTGAACTGTTTTAGTTTTATAATATCGCAGATGCCTGGATACCAGTGTGTAGAGTAAAAATCAGTGTTGTTTTCCTGCCCGACAGCCAGTTGGGAGAGGTAGCCATGGCTATGTTCCTTTGTATAATTCCCTTCAGCACACCAGTAAACACAAGCTACAAATGTTTTGCATCAACAAATAAGTAATGTGACTGTCAGCTCACTGGTCGAGAAGAAATCCGGCTTGATACCAGCTCACTGACTAAGAATAAGTATGGCATGAAAACAGTTTTCTGTGTCCTATGCAGGCCTCACAAAACTAAATATGATCAGAGAAGTATATTTAGAAACATTAACACAGGCTGTTTATAAGGCTGTCCGGCTGTTTATAATATGGTTCTGCTCAACTATTGAAATAAACTATAGAGCTGATGTAAATGTCTTGTAGCCTAGTCTGTAATTTAGGGTATGGTCTTGGTGGTTGCATCATTTCATATGGAATCATTGACAAAAAATAGGGCCAAGCAATCCATAGCTTACAATGAATCCATAGTAGAAAATATCATATGACCTGAAAGTAGAGAAAAGTCTATAAATTAAAGTCTGAGAGCTTGAGCTAAGTAATGTTGGCAAAGTTTATAAATGCAATTAAATTTTCACTGCAAGAAAAACTGCAGTCATTTTACAGTTGCTTGAATGTACATTATGTTATTATACATAAAAGTTGCTCCTCAACCCTGAGCTAAAAGACATGTTTACAAAGATTTCTAACCACAGCTTCTTATAGCATTGAGTCACATGGACTGTCTACTATAAATGTCCTCAATGTGTGACTCCTTATTTATGACATTTGCATTTATACTATTAATAATCAATAATAAAAATAATAATAATATTTTCTGCACTGCTCAGTCTTCAGTTTAATGAATTTAAATCTCTTCTCTCTGACTTTGAGAAAGACCAAGACGTGAAATGACTCACTGAGAGAAACTTTAACTTCAAAACAGCTGATGTCATAAGAATAGTAAAAGGTCTGTTTAAATAGAGGCAGTTGCCAAACCTCTCATTGTCTATTGACTGGTCTTCTTTAAAAGATACTATTTGTTATCTGTCTTGGAGGAAGGTGTTCTCTGATTGAACACTACAATAAGGGTTATTAATACTTACTTAATGACAGTTGGTGAAACCAATACACAGGTAGATCATATGTGGTTGAGAGCCAGTCGACAGAATTTGACAACTAGGTCATCAGCACTTGACAACAAATCTGAGTCAATGTTGTAATCATTATAAACCATTATACAGGCCTCATCATTTAGGACTGAAACAAAACTTCTCTTTTTTTACATCTTATACAGAAGAAAATGTTTTGCACTCATGCAGATGCCATAGTAAAAGTATGTACTGTGTAGTATCTTACTAGTCTTTTTTCTGTCCTCTACTTCCTGATGCAATAGGTGAAAGAAGGTGTGTCAAATACCTCGCTTTTGCCCCCACACTGGTCTCACATATTTTACACCCATGCAGAAAAATTTTTGCCCTAACTGTTTTTCATGCTCTGGATCAGATTACATCTGGGATTACTCTGCAGTGCTCAGCTCTTGCCAGTTTCTGTCAAAGACTCATTTAATCCCCAAATTAGCCTCTGGTTGACTTTAAAACCCAATTTTATTTTATTTTTGGTCATTTTCTTTTGGCTATTTGAGTACAATCAGATAAATCATTATACGGTCTGTACTCCCAAAACATATTTGACAGGTGGTGACAAATATCAAGTTACTTTCATTTTTACACCTATGACTAAATGTACCATGTCATATTAAATGTTGAAGAATCATTGGAATATATACTGTGTTTCAAATGCAAATAGATTGTTGGTGAGGAAGTTAACACAGTTTCACAGCAGTTTGGTTAGTGTCACGTCTGTTGCTTGGCCATTAACTCTGTGCTGTACCTCCTAAGAATGAATGTAAACACAGAACATGTGCATCAGATTTCTTGTATCTTTATCTTAGTCTTATAATGGCTTAGCTTTAAATGTAAAACACTTTTCTCACAGGCAGCAACTGCACTGACAGCTGCTGACTCAGATTTCTCTTTTCAGTGGAATCTCTTCTGTTTGTGGGAAGTCCAGCCACTTGTAGCTTCTTTAATACCTTGATATTTTCCCAGCAGAATTAAGAGGGTTGATATCTTCAGTCAGCACATCTGACAGCAGCCTGAACCCAGAGCCTTTTTTTCTCCCTGAGAGAATTAGGGATAGTGACAGTTGTTCATTCTTGAAATGTGCTGCTGCAGGCACTTCAAATTCCTGTGTTCTCTGCTTGTGAAATCCCTACAGGCGAGAAGCTTTCCGTTTTGGAAACAAACAGATATTAGGAATGCAGTAGTAAATTTACTAATTGAGTTTTTTTATGTTTTAATTATTAAACATGCATTACTGTGACAAGTTCTGAATGTATATAAAATGTGTGGTTGTGCTTTTTCAGGCTCTACGAGTCAAAGCTGAACAGTCCCCTGCAAAAAGCCTTGAGTCCTATTGTATGGTGTCGTCAAGCTCTTGACCACCCCAGCCCTGAGATGGAGTCGGCCAAACGCTCACTCATCCACAGACTGGACCTCACTATGTCAGGTAAAGATTAAATATACAAGTGCAATTCATCAGTCCAGCGTCTAGATGAGGCTGGACTAACTTAAGCCGGGTGTCCGACCTAAAATTGAAGCCTCAAACCCTCACAAAGGCATAGGTTGGCTGGGTATTGAAATGATATATTTGACGTGTACCGGTGAAATTAAAACTTTTTCTTAAGGTGTGCGACAGAATAATTATTGGATATAGAGTGTGTGTCAAACTGTCTGTGTATTAAAATGCTTAAAATCTAAATAGTTTTCACAAATTACTTACTGTGTCATGATTAGCACATTGATTTTTTTTAAGCTCTAATTAACATTTAAGACCATAATGCAGTTCAAAAAGTTGTAAAACTAAAAGAGTAAGTTTGTTTTTTTAAATATTCAGCAGGCAATTTGAAGTCTCCAACATCTAAAGCCAAATCTGAGGATTAGATTGGATTTAAGCAGCTCATTACAACTGCCAAGTATCATTGTCTTTAAGGGAGGTTGGTATCTATGTTTATTAGTAAGTTACCACTGTGGTTTATTCTTAATCTGTCTGATGGTTGATGTTAAATCTTCATCCTGGATTTTATTTCATTTCAAAATGCTCACATTAAAGGTGATCCCTCAGAGAGACAGACAGGCTTCACATCCTCTAAAAGGAGAGGGGTCACTTCCATTTTGACAGTGGCATGTCCATGTGACAGATAGATCATGTTGAGCAATAGGTGACTGAAAGTTGTTCACTGGCAGAGAGGTGATCTTCACTGTTGTGCAACAATCATGCGTCTGAACAGAGACCCCCACTCATGCCGCTACTTACCAAAAATCCCAGTTTATTTTTCTTCATGAGATTTGCCATGAGATTACATAATATAAGTGAGAAATATATAGTTTTAATTATAAACCAGATAGAAACCAGATTTTGACATTCTTTTACAACACAAGAACTAATGAACAAGGGAGGCTTGCTCATACATGGTGACTTCATCTATGAGGTGTGGAGGACAGATCATTTTGTCATTAGTCTAAAAATGACTCACTTGTCACTGACCCTCTGATGTTGTCATCACTTTCATTTGGGGTTACATATAGTCTGGCAAACTCTTGGAGAGACTCATGTTGTGGGCACAAATAAAATAAATGTATTTCCTATGAAATTAGAAATTTCCTTGTAGAAGAAAGACAGCATTTATTATACGTAAATGTGACAATTATTATTCATTAAATAAGAGTTTATTCCAATCCGTCATTGTGACCCTTAATCGATGTTGTAAAGTTATTACTTTAAATTGTTTTTTAATGGTGTAACAAAAAAATTTTAGGTACTAGTAAATGAAAAACAATTCATTGTCCTTAAAGGATGTAGGACCAGAGATGGAAATAAAACGATTTGTGTTTTAAGTTAATTTGTATTTAGTATTTTTATTGTAGCTTCCTGGAACAGCAAAGACATATTTAGAAATTGACTACACTTTTTAGTGTACAATAGCTCACCCAAAATCTTAACTGTGAGTTTTGGAAAAAATAATTGATGAAAACAGATTTCTTATGTGACAATAACAGCCTTTTAAAATGGTTTACTTCCCATTATTCAGTCTGTTTGCTAAAGCTTTGAAAGAAATTTACTATAATAAATAAAAATTTGAAAATGTCCAAACACAGATGGCAGATTTCTGTCCATACATTCTGAGATCCTGTGACTCAACAAACAGGAGCACTGCCAGAGACACGCCCTCATGGCTCCCAGCTACTTTTCTTCCCACCCACACTCTCTCAGAAACTATGTTGCCACGGCAACGACTGTTTATGTTAGATGTTACTGCACATATTAAAATCTCCACATGTACATTTTTATAGTGTAAGATGTGGAAAAGTTCGAGGAACGTTGTCTCTGTACACATTAAATCTTAGCAACTTAGCACTGACAAGTGCAAACTCGGCAGCTAACTTAGAGTCATGACCCTAAGTCCAGTGTCAGTATTGGCCAAACACCAATAGGTCCAGATGACGTGTCTGCTTATGTAACCATGAAGAAGGAGGAGATGGCTGTGAGACAGTGGACTGTTGAGCTTTTTTTTTATAGACAACCCTGATAATAACTCTGAACACAGCTGTTTTTAATAATGTTCTCTGTTAAACCCTGTCACATAAGTGCAACATCTGACCTGCATTATTTCCAAACACAATAAGTCTTATTGTGACTGAGCTGTCGACTTCTGTTCAACTCCCGGGTACATGTTTCTGCCTGCATGGTCTCTTTTTACTTTTATTCTCTGTTTGCTGTTTTTCTGTGATTTACTTTAAGCTCTCAGCACATTTTTAGGACAGCCTTTTTTCAAAATCAATGCCAACTTCCAGCTAAGTTAGCTTTAAATCTCTGTCAGGAGGTTTTGTACTCACTTATTTAATTGTCCTGGAGTTTCCTTCGGCTGAAATGTCAAGATTCTTTATTGCAGTGTCATATAATAAAAAAGAAAGAATGACCACAGTCACACAAAGTACAGACATCAATTTTATTTCATGAATGTTCTCCATACACGTAAATGTAAAGTAAAATGTGAAGAATATTTTAAAGAAAATATATTTTTTGCATCCTGGTACATTGGTCCTGAATTATGGATATTCTTGAAGGCTATGTCTCTTTGTGTATTTATTTTCTTTTATAATTCTCTTTTATTTTTAGAATCGATATCCTGCTATGCTTTGGGTTATTAACCAATGATAAATGTTTGAAATCAATATGGCTGGGTTAACAACTTCTCTATGACTGTGGGTTTTTCTTTTTAAAATTATTTTCAATACCTGCATTCTCGATATTAAAATGTAACTTAATCTAGTGTATTTTGTTTTTTAAAATTAGAAGTAAAATCTCAGTGGTTAATCTCCATAATGTGTGTGTGTGTGGATGGTTATTTACTGAATAATGCAGTGTGACAGAGTGCAGAGGAAAACCAGAGTGAAATCAGGATTGTAAAGAAGAGAAGTGGACTTAAAAGCTTTTCTCCTTAACAACACTGAACACATGCAGTCAGTCCAGTCAGCCAGCAACCTACTGCCTGTCTGTGGTCTGATCTCATGGTTGAGGCCATACATTCTGAAGACTGTGGCCTTTGACAGCACTTCACTCTGGTTCACAGAGAATGACATTGTGTGACTATTGACTGAGAGGAGAATGAATGGAGTGTATTGTAAGTGTTTCTCTCTGATAACGCTCTGTTCAACATAAGGAGGAAGAAAGTCAGTCAGTCCTGCTGCTGTGACTCTTAATTACTGGACAATCAACAGGATCTCATTCATAATACACTCTCATAATCCACTTTGAATGTGAATTATTAATCCAGACTATGCAATTTTCACCTATTTTACATTTCTTATGGATTAATTATCAATGTACGATTGACGATTCTAATTGAATTGTAAAGCTTGAATCTAGTTTATCAAGTTGAATTACGTCACGGTTGTGGTTTTTGGGTTTTCACCCTCAGATCTTGGTTTTATTAATTTTTTTGTAAAAATTTAAAAACATTTTATCTTTATGTTGCATGGACTCATAGCAGATCTGTTCTTTTACTCTACAGCCAACAAGCGCAGAAGCCTTTATGGAAGCCCTTACACCCAACAGAATTATGGAAGTCCCTACAGCACAAACACAGCCAACAGCCCCTACAGCAGTGGCTTTAACTCTCCCTCCTCAACCCCCTGCAGAGTGCCCATTGTCCGACAACAACTCCTGCCTGGAAACACCGGTACGGAGTAATGTAATAGTGCACGGAAAATATTTCTAGACATATTTCACTGTAGCTGTAGATTGAAAAGTCATCAGAAGTCATTATCTACCAAAATGAAATGTCATGTTCATATTTTTTGACAACATTTTAAATTGTGTTAAATTGAAGAGAGTTGATATTAAATAGTTTCAGGTTAGAAGGTCTCACATTTTCTTAAAAAACATCTTTACATACATGGTTCTTTAACTGTGACAAATATTGTTTTCCCAGTATACCAGCGGAATACTACACAAGAGAGGAATCCTCCGGCTGTGAGTCCGCAGTCGTCGGTGGACAGTGAGCTGAGCACGTCAGAAATGGATGAGGACTCTGTGGGCTCCTCAACTACCTACAAGCTCAATGATGTCACAGATGTTCAGATTTTAGCACGCATGCAAGAAGAGAGTATGTATCTGTTGCACTCACTGTGGGGATCTCTGAAAGTTAAGATGAGATGATTTTGTTGTTGTGAAACTGCATTTGTCATTTGTTAGGTTTGAGGCAGGACTATGCTGCAACAGCGTCCAGGCGGAGCTCCGGTTCTTCCTGTCACTCGCTACGGCGCAGCACTTTCAGTGACCAAGAGTTGGATGCACACAGTCTGGAAGATGAAGAGGAAGCGGTGCACCCAGCTTTTCACCTGCCCTCCAACCGTTTTAGCCCCTCTCCTCGACACTCCCCCCGCGCCTCCCCCAGAAACTCACCTCGCTCACGGTCCCCTGCCCGTTCTATAGAATACAGCCACGGTCGTGGTTCGCCGCAGCCAATCATCAGCCGCTTGCAGCAACCTCGGCACTCATTACAGGGCCACGGGCACGACCTACAGACCAACGTGGTGAAGAATGAAGGTGACTGGAACAAGCAGAGGTGGACTGGTGTTGGCTGTGTGATTTTTGTAGCACTGTCAGTTTAAAACTAAAACACTTCTGTTCTGTTGTTGCAGAAAAGCTGCGCCGCAGTCTTCCTAACCTTTCACGCTCCTCAGCAGCTGCTGCGGCCCCGGCTCCAGAACCAGTAAAAAACAGCCGCAGCTGTGAGTCCAACCTGCAGATGCCAAATGGTGGCTCTCCCCGACACCAGAGCCAGTCTGCAAGTGAGTTTTGTGACCAGGATACACACCATTACATTTTGTTTTATACATTCTGCCAAAAACCTCTCCTTCTAAACCGCTGTGTTCCTACAGGTAATCTTTAACAAGGCTGTCACCTTATATCTGAACTTTGGATACATGTGGGAAATATAGTATTTTTTAGATAGAATTAGCTAGCTAACCTCTTTCTTTATCTTAGAGTGGGACATAGACCCCTCTGCTGGCTCCTCAAGTCTGCAAATCTGTCTGACAAAATCAACAGTTGACTTGATAATTGACAGGTGACAGCTGTAATTCTTAACCACTGTTTTATTATAACACCAGTTAGTCTTTATCACTGTATATTGTTAGAATCATTATATTGGTATTCTCTTTCACTACATCTACAGTAAAGAGTGCACATTGCTGAGATGTTTGGAATTCCCTGTCACAGTCTTTTTCCTTCAGTATCATCTTTTTAAATTGACTTGCATTCTTCTTTGCGTCTTTCACAAATACAATGCTGCTCATTCTGTGCATGGCAACAATAACACTGTCCGAGAACTCCAAAGAATGGTTCTAGTTGTTGTTGGTGCAGAAACTGCTCATGCATGTATTTGTTCATTTATTTATCGATTTATTTTAAATGAAAGTTTAGTACTTTTCTCGCATATTAGAAATAGCATCTGATTTAATCCTGTGCTTGTAGATAGGAGTATAATCCAGGAATGCTAATCTCTCTGTTACAACAGGCAAAAGGTCAAAGTCACAGGGTAAGCATCAGCTGGTCCAACACATCCTTGTTTGCAGTACAGTTCTTGTACTTGAGGTGGTCTGGAGGATGGTGGACAGGTTTATCTGAGCTTTGGCTGTGCACAGCATGTAAGACACCTCACCTTCTGCCTCACTCACCAACTCTCCCTCTCAATGTGAAGCACTTGTAACTGAAGCCACTGTTTCTCTGCGTACACTGACACTGGTGGACTGGCTGTTAAACCTGGCACTTGCTTTGGTTCCTCTCCAAGTGAAGAAGCTATTCCCTGTCAGCATTAGGCTGCTGCGCCCTCTTGTGGCTTCACACTTGCTTAAATAGCCCTGAGTAGCTAATAGGCCCCTTCTACTCTCATAATTCATCTGTTTCCAGCATTGAAGTGTCCTTGTTTTCCAGTGGCAGCACCGCAGCTCCCAAGATACTTGACCCCCCCACGCTCCTCCCCGAAACCCAAACAGCACCTCCAAAGCCCAACTGCTCTGCGAGGTAACAGTGTGGTCTTGGACCAGCTGAAGGCTATTCCAAGACCACACTCACATGCCTACACACACATATGCCGACAGTATATACTCCCTGTGTATGCAGGTATAAACCAACTCTTATCCTCATATATAAACGATAAAGTACCGTAGCTACTGTAGAGCTGGACTGGACCTCGGGACTGTGTGCCTAAACTAAGTCTGTCTGAGAAGTAGTGATGGAACGGTTTATGAAAAAGAACCGAGCCATTCGGTTCAACTGACTAGGTTTGGTGCTTGGCGCAACTTTGAGTGTGGAGGAGGGAATTAGTCATTAGACATACTACGCTACAACCATACCATAGTAATAATGGTCTAACAAGGCCTTAAAAAATAAAACAAAGTGTAAAAATGAATACAAATGCATTTAATTGCCTCCAAATATGTAGCTATGTGCTAATTTATGATTAAGTTATAAAAGAAATATTTTTGGTACGTAAACCATTGATCAAAAGCATCATACTATAATAATAATTTTCTGAAAAAGTATTAAATAATAAAAAATCCCAAAAATGGGTTCTTGAACTTTTGATTCCAGTAACTAATAAGTTTCTCAAAAATGACTGAAAATACATTCATTTGCCTTAAAATACTTAGCTATGTCCATTTTTGTGGTTAGAATAAAAAAAAGCATTTTATATTTTTATATTACAGAAAAAAATCTACTTTTTTGCTACGCCAATTTTTGAGTACAGTAAACTACTATACTAATATGTATTTTTCCCGCGGCATGGAAGTACAATTAGACCACATCTCCCATCACGCCACTAAATATTTTCAAAAGGGTTTGAAGTTGTTGAAATAAGACTTCTCATTTATCATATCTTTGGACAGACATGATGGGTGATTGACAATGTGCCTCTAACCTAATCTACAGTTACAGATTTAATCCTTACATGCTCCTAATGATGACGACACCTTTGCCTATTTACATACTTCCCATCAGGTAAACTGTGTAGTATGCCAATGTTGCACTTAGATAAACACGAGTGGTAACTTGTTACTGAATCACATTAGGAGGTCCAACTGGACAGACCTGAAAATGCACATGGTGAGTGAAAATGGTTAAGTAAACTCTGAATTAATTTATAATCTGATCTAATCCTTTAACGAGGTTAATGCTCTCCGGACTCGCTCTTTCCCCCGACACTCTCGTCAGCCATCAGGACATCAGAGGCCAATCCAATGTCAGATTTCAATCTGACGTTAAAAAGGCCGCACTTGACTCCGTGTGAGTCAGAGTGAAGCTGTGGTTGACAAATGTCCGAGTTAAAGAAAATTGAACCACATAAAAAAACCATTAGCCAGTGCTGATTAAAGGCCTGTCTCTGTTGTTTTGGTCTTTGTCTAGTCCCACTCTCCTGTTGCTTTGGAGAAGAAGGTGATTTCAGTGAGTATTCACTGAAGATTTCCACCTCTTGTTAGATGTTGTGATCGTGGTCCTGTGCTGTGGTTTGACTGGTTCTGTGCTGTTACCATGCTGCAGGTGTGTTAGCTTCTGTGTGTGTTCATCATCTCATCTAGACTAGACTCATGGTGTGGCCCAGTCACAGGCAGCTCTGTCAGACGTCCTCTCTGATATATACAGTATGTGAAGTTCCACTCCACAGGTGTTACTTTCATTTGTGGTTGTGATGATGATGGTTTATCACAACTTGTGTTTCAATGCGTCATCACATTTGTTTGGCAGGTCATCAGGTCCATCTGTCCTTGTCCTAAAACCAATGCTGACTAAATATATAAATCCTCCTCCAAGGTTTCAGTCTGTAACAAAGTGGATTACCGTATAATCTAGAAAAGTGGTTCTCATACTGCTACCATCTCTGAAATAGTTGTCTCTACAAGTAACACCACTGAGGGGATTTACATATTTAAATGTTTATTTATCAAAATAAAGTTGTCTATTGTATTGCAACATTTTTGTTTTTATTTAAAATAACTTTTATTTATTTACTTTATTTAAACTGAGTGACCTGCTGATTCTAAAAAGGGTTCAATTCCATAGATCGCCACTAGAGGAAGCCCAAGTACATTATTGGTGCACGCTGCATAGTTTGAGAATTACTTTTTTAGATGATGCAACTTGTTATGCTATTAAAATTCATTATCATGTAAATCTGAGAAGTCATCCTAGCGCAGAAACCTTGGTAACACTGATCTCATGTGGTTAATTGCTAGAACAACTGTTCTGTTAATAATCGACTTTATATTTAAATTTATGTTTGAGAGACACGCATGACTCCTAATTGCTTTTTTATCCATTAATGGATTTTCTACTTTAATATTAATTATTTTGTAATTGAAAATATCTGAAGCATTTCTCTTAAATATTACGGTAATAATAACGTGTGGATAAAAATATAAAGATCAACAACTGGCAGCTGAGTTCATGTCATTACCCCAGTGTCACATCACTCCATTTCGTCATTGAGCTGTCGTTATACTTGGGGTTTATGCTTGTGTTTTACCTGGTCAACATGTCGGGTAAATGCAATTAATCAGCTTCACAGCTGCATCGTCCAAAGCCTCTAAAAAGGAGGATTTAGGATTTAGTTTTAGCTCGCTATGAACTAAAGCAAAAATTGCTATAGCTATTAGTTGCAAACTGAATGTACAGTATGTGCTGTTTCCACTTTACACACACACACACACACACAGACCAGCTGACTGACTCTGTGTCCTTGTCCTGCTTCTCTTCAGTCCCCTCTCCCAGTAAGCTGCGAACGCCTCCAGCCCCCTCCCCTCTGGCCCTCAGACAGCCAGTGAAGGCCACAGCCACCCCTGGATCTGCCACCTCCACGCCCACTCGCTCCTTGGCTGCACCACGGAGTGGCCTGCCCCGTCCCAGTGCCTCCGCTGGAGGAGGTATCCCTCTGCCCCGCAGCAAACTGGCCCAGCCTGTACGCAGGTAATACAGTAGACATGGATTCTGCTGTCTGTGTGTTTGTACAATTTTGTTTCTTCCTTGAAAATGTTGGCAAATATATTTAGTTTAAACCTTTTGTTTGCAGCCTTTTCTCTCTAGGTTTACTGTATATATCAAGGGGTGATATTGCAGATGTTGCAAATGTATCATTAAGTGTTGGTGATTAATTGAATCGTTGTATCATCACAGCATCATTATTCGAACATTATCTGTTCCTCAGATCTCTTCCTGCGCCTCGGACTTACAGCAGTGGAGGTGACAATTGGAGGGAAGGGTGTTACTAAACGGTGCCAGCGGAGGGCGCTCCAGTATAACTCGGCACCGAAAGCAGACGTTTCAACAAGGCACTTTATCTACCTAGCTACACGACCTCTAAAAAAAAAAAGACTGAAAATGACTGTGTCCTGAGAATATATTGACATGGCATAAATTAAAAGAAAGAGGGTCTCTGCTGTGTTAAAGACCACCTTCCACCGTGTGTCTCCATGTAGACTGGTACTGGACAGGATGAGATTTCAAACAGCCCACAAAATGCCAAAGAGAGGAGACAGACTCCAGGCAGGACAGCAGAGGACACATCTCAGCCTGGCCTCACGGCATCCTTCATCTTTGCCCCTGCTCTTCTTTCACCTTCCTCAGGTTGAAATGTTTCTGCACACTTCTCTCTCTCTCTTGCTCTCTCTCTGTCTCTCTCCCTCCCCCCACCCCCAAGACCAGATGATGGCATGTTGATCTCTATGACAATGCTGTGCAGGTGAAGTATGTTGTGATGCCGTAGAATCGTTGTCTCGCAGCAGTGGTGGACATGACTTTTAAAGAATATATTTCCTCCTGTCAAATCAGCCAGAATGTATGCACAAAATTTGCTTTGATAAATTATTTATTAGAATAATTTAAGAAGTCTATGTACAAACATCCATATCAGTATTTCTTTCTTTTACGCTTTTATCATTTCTTGTTTGTTTTTTTTAATGTACATCCTGAACCTGAATTGCAAAGCTAAGTCTCCAAAGTAGTTCTGTTTTTTTGTTGATTTTTTTTTTTTTTTTGTTTGTTTGTTTTGCTGATTTTGGAAAAAGCCTCAGTTCTGACTTTCAACAGTGTTTGTCATATTCTTTTATGTTTCCCTCCTAAAAGTTTGGTCACGAGGTGAAAAAGAAAACACTTGGATATTGTTCTTCATGGCCCCCACACAGAATAATTATCAGTGTATGTTCTCATAAAAAACTTAAAAAATAAATATATTTTAGAGCTGACTAAAAAAATTCTCCCACTGAGTAGATTTGTGGGTTTACCAGGCTTAAGGGTGGTGTTCCAGTGAGTTGTGGTGGATGTTCTTTAAGTAGTGCCTATAATTTAAGGTTTATTTCAGTTTAAACTTTTATATATTTTTTGCCAATTTATGTTTGCCAATTTTTTTCATGTTTGATTGACTGATTTTTTTTGCCTGCCATTTTTTGTAACAAATTAAATGCATTTATATTTGCTTGAACATTTTAAATATTGGCCTTCATATTTATAAAGGATGAGTCTTTCTGTAAATTAAACTATTTATTGAGGAGAGAGGTGCCTCTGTCAAAGGTCACAGGAAGCTGGAAAAAGACATGAACGCACACATTTAGTGCAAAAGTTTTTGTTATTGAAATTTTTTTATATCCACAAACATGACATTCTGTTTTCAAGTGTAAAGTCACATTTCAAATAAAAGCTAAAAACCTCCTCCTGTATCAGTGTTTCTTTTTGAACATGTAACAAAGTAGGCCAAAGGTCAAATTCTTGGGAAATAAACTTAAATTTTCTGGAACTTTTATTTTTTGCATGCGGTTGTGATGGTAAGACTATAGTCTTGCTTGTTGTTAAGATAAAATGTAATATGTATACATACACATGATGTATATATATGTAGTTGAAATAATTAACTAAAAAACTATTTGAAATTGTTTTATATTTTGTTTCAATTGTTTCTTTTTGAAGATTTCCACAAATGAGCTTTTCTGTTACAATCGTCAAAGCACTCTCCTTCCATCAAAGAAAAAGTTCTGAGACTAAACCAACTAAAAAAAAAAAGGATGTGAATGTCAGGGGTCAACTGTAGGGGGCGCGCTGATATTGGAATTGTTTATTTAACGGAAATAGGCCAAGTTGTACGACCCTTATTTCCGGTTGTGGATCGGCCGCATGGGAAACGAGTGTTTGCGGTTTGGGCTTCCAGCTGGCGTTCATCTCAAACTGCTGGGCACGGTGGCTACATGTGATTGATTGAAATGGTAGGTTTTTGAAAACAATTGTCGGTAAGTGCAATTTACGCTAGCATGTGCGTTTCGGCAGCCAACGTTAGGTTTTTTCAGAAGTTAATTGATTAGTTCTTTGTCCTAAATAATGAGCATAAAGTTGTCGTGGTAAATAAAAAGTCCC